AACCCCCTCTCCCCTCCCGCCCAACCCACTTCATGACCCTAAGCATGTGTATGATTCATGGGTCTAGATAAATATTTCCCTTCTTTGATGTTCACACAAGTCATTTCCGGGTCTTATTGTTGGGAGATTACGGTAATACTCCCCCTACTCTCTCTCAAAACCCACTACTATTCACGGTTCTGTCGCTGTGTTTCATTCCTCCCACAAGGCTCTTCTCCTACCACATCTGACTTGGTATGCAAAAGAAAGGGCTGTGAAGGAATTATATCCTTTCTTGCCCATGTGTAGCAGATGACACAACACTAAAGAGAAGTGAACATAAGGAGATTGTGATGCTTTGTTTGTAGGTTAGATACGTGGGATGGAAAAGGAGATGCTGTGTCATTTAGTGCAGAATTTCAGGTTGAGAGTGTAGTGATTTACCAGCCTGATGTTTGATGCTGCCACAGGAAAAGCTTATTATTTTCATCTATGATGACTGACCTTATCACTCTACAATGTTGCAACTCTCATGGATGCAACTATCATCCTCCACATCACCGGCACCATGACCGCCTGCTCTCACCCAATTCTCTCCCCCCCCCCCCCCTCCCCCTCCCCCCCCTCTGCCCCCCCTCCCCTCTTTCCTCTCGAGGAATCAACTTCTTGCACTGCAACGCCCCACCTTGTCTTCCCCTTTCCGTATCTCAGTGCAGCTGCTTCTAGCAGTCGCCTTCCCAGACATGGCATGCAGGGAGGTGGGGCTGGTGGAGGTTGCAAGCTGGGGTAGTTGGTGGTTGGGATTCGGGCCGAACCAAGGTGGCTGGAATGGCCAGAATCAACACTGCAAGTCCCAAGGCGTTCACAGTGTGTTTGCAATGTGCCTTAGGCGGCGGCATGCTTGCGACAAACACAAAGGAGCACAACAATGCCTCCTCTAGATCTTTGATACTGGTACTATTTCTTCAAAGACCATAAGATTTTATTGTTTTGGAATGTGGTAAGTGGTGAGGTCATTCATAAGACCTACGATGTAATTTGATTGTGAGTCAATTGTGGCTCACATTGCAGGCTCAAAGCCAGGCCAGCCAACAAAATTACGGTACCCCTGCTCGTGTAACAATCCCGGCAAGGACAAGTTTATTAATAAGCGATTCGCATTTCTGGCAGGCTGTGTAGAAATAGGTTGTGTGTTCACTATTGTCCACACCCCTTGCTTCCACTACCCATGTTTGTGTACGGATCAAACGGAGGTTGCTCATTACTGTGAACAAGAGCCTAGCCTCTGACTGCCATAGCCATCCATGTGCTCCATCCCTCATGCTTCAGTCCCCTTGCCTCATACCAGTCAGCCAACTCTTCCCTCAACTCATCTGCCTCCCTTCCACATCGCTCCCTGCCAACCTACCATACCTTATAAGTCTGCATACATAGGCAACTTCAAGGTATAGAGATCTGTCATCTTGGTGTAAACGAAATTGTCATATTGGTGGGGCGCATTCAGCTGCCAAGGCGTATAGAGATTTGTCAGCTTGGTCAGGGCAGGCAGCTGCTGCAGCCCATCATCCGTGACTGCCGTGCCATCCAGATCAAGCATCTCAAGCCCTGTCAGCCTCACCAGATGCACGATGCCGGCATCTGTCACACCACTGCAATAACCAAGCTGCAGGTCTTTGAGAGAGGACGGAGGTGTCAAGTGCGACAGTCTGGCATCGGTCACATTGGCCTGATGGAGAGAGAGGTCTGTGAGACTGGTCAAGGACCCAATGCCTTCCAAGGCACAGTCTGAGAAATCAGTGTAATTGAAGTTTAGCTTTTCTAATTGGGGCAGCCTGTAGAGGTGTTTGATGCCCTCTGTACTGAAGCCTGACGTCGAGTCAAAGTCAATGCTCGTCAGGTGCGTCATTGTGGACACATGGACGAGCATGGCATCTGAGAGGCCGCGGAGACACGCCAGGCTCAGATCAGACTTCTGTAAAGCTTCCTTGATTGCCTGGAAGAAATGAACGAAGAGAGAAAGCATAGCAAGGGAATGGATGATCATGGTGGTGATAAGGAAGGGATGGCAAGCAATATATGCTCTATGGAACAGGCCCCTAAGCACTCACCCGCCATGCAGTCTTTTTATCGCCTACACTCCGCTTGATCCTCCGTGTAACATTCACTTTCACGTCTTGTACCTTCTGCCATTCCTTGCTGGATGCCAATTCCTCCATGGCATATGGCAGGTTTGACTCCTGCACCTCTTTCCTCCTCTCCTCCTCTCATGGAAACTCTGCTACCATTTCGTGCCTTCTCTTTCTACTCTCCCCTCTCAGGCCTCCTGCATCTGATGCCCTACTACCCTCAGCCCATTGCTCTGCCATAGTACCCTTTTGTTCCACCAACTCCTTTTTCACCGCTGCCAACTCCCCCTTCACTGCTGTCAGCATGTGCCGCAACTCATCCACCTCCTCCTTGTGTGCAGCCAGCTCCCGTCTAACTGCTGCCAGCACCGCCTCTTTGACCAACTCATTCAGCCCACTCAGCACTCTCTCAGCAGCCATCTCATCCACTCACTGACTCCTCAAACAGCCCTCGTTCTATGGCTGATTGTTCCGTGCGTTCAATTGCCCCCTTTCTCTGCCGCCTGGCGAGAGCAAACAAGCCTGGGTAGGGCAGGGTTTAACGTTCTGCGAAAAAACAGAAACTTAAAAACAAAAGACGGAGAAGGTCCATGGTGAGTGGACACACAAACAAAGACCAATTACACTGGCATGAGAGATGAGGCAGTGATGTGACAAAGAGAGCAGATAAGTAGCAGCAGAAAAAGAGGTACTTGGTTGAAAAATGGGCTGTTGGAAAGGGACACCACAAGTATCGCAGCAAGGCGGAAACAATTGTTGTGGTGAAGCGGTAGGGACTGCATTGGGTGTCGATGTTAAAGCAATTCACCCCGACTGGCAAAGCATGCAGGCCAAGCATAGTAGGAGGAGACAGCAAAGACATACAGAAATTTGCTGAAAGAGTACAACAACAAACAACGCTAAGAGGAACCAGAGAAGACAGACAAGGGAGACAATGACCAGGCTTGGAGAGGTACACATAGGGGGCCGGTAAGAAGGTGGTGTAGCATCAGTCAGATAGAGCGCGCTTTATTAGCAGAGCACCCAGATGGTCCCAGATACATTGGTGTGAAAAAAAATTGGTTTAAAGAAACACAAATGTAGGGCGACAGGAAGGGAGAGGAGGGGAAGAGAGAACACGAGAAGCAAAGACAGGAATCTCCTCTTCTTCTATGTATTTCAAAATCTGATTGTATCCACAGTGTGAAAAGAGGCAGGTAGGCGAGGCTTGCACCAGACCTTGACATCAGTGTAAGTAGGTGGGGGCCACTGAAAGTGGCAGAACAACCAACAGCAAAAGGCCAGAACTGAAGCCAGGAGGAGGAACAGAGTAAGATAGGACGCATGAGGAGTGGATGGAGCAGCAATGACGGCGGGACGAAGACCTCAGCCTGGCATAGCTTATGCAACGTGGCCCTGGCAGCTCTTCTTGTTACTGGAGACAAAAGACTAAGGAAAACTAAGCTCACGCATGCGTGTGAGGGAAGCCGGAGCGAGCACACAACGAGGGAACTTGAAACGACAGGGCTTGGGAGAACAGAAATGGTAGCGAAAGAAACTCGAGACGTGGCTGGACATGCTCAAATTCCGTAAGTCGACTCACAAACGTGGCTTGAGAGACAACTTACAGACCCTGGCCATAAATTAAGCCAGAATTGGCTCAGCCATCGCAAAAAGTGTTAGGCCAGAGTAGTAGCATGGGATAAGTGAGTGGAAGGGGTTATTGGTGGTGGTAAGGAGCGCAATGGAATTGTTTTCGGTGAAGCTCAGAATTAGCAACTGTTGAGACAACGTGACAGCTGCAAAAATGATCATGCTCGTAGGTGGTCAGAAGCTAGGCCAGTCACAGTTGGTCACCTGTAAAGGAATCACAAGTCTGGTCCATCAGAGGCTGGAAAACGTGCTTGGTTAGTCACTGACTAGGTTGATCGTAGGCTGGTTGAATCATAGCCTTTGTCTGTCACTAGCGAGCATACTGTGTAAATCCACTGGCCTTTGGCAATCCATAATGCACTCGGAACTACGCATTACACTATACAAGAATACTACAGGGCGATTATAGAACAACTTTTATCGCCCCGCCGTGCAAATTGGCATATTGTCAGATTGACGCAAAAAAAAAGAGAAGAAATGCTCTACATTCATATCGCCACCTCCTTCCCAATCCATTGACCACCCTGAACCACCCTGACCGTATCAGCCTTACCCGACGTTTTCTGTCCACACAAATTTGCTGCACTTGTTCTGTCGCACAGTTTCCAACAACGGCATCTCACCCTCCTCCCCTCAATCCGTGCACCTAGCCTAGCTGTATCCCAGCCAAATCAAGACGAGATTTTCAGTCCTGGTAGCGATTCAAATCCCAAACAAGCAGCGAACCTTAACAAATCTCCATCGTCATATGTGATTGTGAATCAAATCTAACCACTGCTTACAGGATAACTCAGATCCGTCAGGAACTGGGCCAGTTGGGAGCTAAGCTAACTAGGTTGGTCAAAGGCTAGGTCAGTCACACGAAAGGTCAGTCACACGAAAGGTCAGTCACACGAAAGGTCAGTCACACGAAAGGTCAGTCACACGAAAGGTCAGTCAGAGGCAAGACCCTCACAAGATAGGTCTGTTAAAATACATTGTGTAGCATGCCAACACATGTGACTGTACACCAATTGTGGTGTACAGTTGGGTTGGGACTACACCCAACTTTGGGTGTAGTCTTGCACTTTGGGGTGCCAATCCACCCAATTGTGGTGGAGCCCCCAAATGCAACCCTCTTGACTTGTGGGTACCTCACTTCCCACAATTGAGGCTTCCCCAAGCCAAGTGGGCCTAGGGTTGCCTCACTTCTACAAAGTGTGGGCAACCCAACCCACTTGACCAATGGTTCCCTCACTTCCCAAAGTGAGGTCAACCCAACCTATGGTCACTTTGATCCTTCCCTTCCACTCTCCCCTTCCAACCTTCTCTTCCAAACTATGTATGCTAGGTTGTGACTCTAATTCAATGACTTGTTCAATCCACAATCTTCACATGGTATAGAGCTAGTTGTTCCTAAGCCTTTTTTTTTCCTCCCTCCAAGTCTTCTCTTCTCCCATGGGCCCACCCTACAGCCACAAACCTCCTACGTGTGGCTCAACCTAGCACCTCCGTGGCACAACCTACGCCGTCGCCACTCTTCCCTCCCTCCGCCGTGATTGCGCCCTCCTCGCCTGTGGATCCCACCGCCGCGAGTGCATCACCGCCCCTCCCCCCCCTTCTTCCGCCGCCGCGCCTTCTCTGGCGCCGCCTGCGCATCCCGCCGCGACGCCTCGTTGCTGCCTCCTCCTCCCCCTGCCGCGACCCCCCGTCGCCGTCTCCCTCCCGCCGCCGCGCCTACTTCGGCGTCGCCCGCGCATCCCTCCGCCACGGCACCCCTTCGTCGCCTTCCCCTCCCACTGCCACGAAGTCGCGTCGCCGCCCCCCCCCCCCCCCCCCCCTACCGCCGCCGCGCCTTCCTCGGCGCCGCCTGCGCATCCCACCGTCGCGACGCCTCGTCGCCGCCTCCCCCTACCGCCGCCGCGCCTTCCTCGGCGCCGCCTGCGCATCCCGCCGTCGCGACGCTTCACCCCGGCGAACCCCCTCCACCCCCCATTCCTCCTGGTCCTCCTCCTACTGAACCCACCTTGGAAATCGCCACTACCCCGGCGCTCCAAGATGCCGCCGATGCCGCATTTCTCCACGATCGCCGCGAATACCTCATCCGCAAGGCGGAGTATGAGGTTGCGGTACATAACCACGACTTCGCGGTAGCGGAACGCGCCAATCGCCTGGCGCTCCTTGATGAGTACAATACGGCCATGGTGGACTACCTCCCTCGGAGCATCGCATGGGCCACTGCTGATAACCGCGCCTGCACCGTCCTCCTTGGCGCACTCCCTGGTACCCTTATGCGCCGTTTCCAAGCTCGCGAGATGCGCGCCTCCCTCATCTGGACCGAGCTCCAGGCGATGTTCGAGCGTCGCGACATCAGCTCTGTCGGCGCCCTGTTCCAAGAGTACTTCTCCATCACCCTCGCCACCTGTGATGGCGCAGTTGACTATGTGGGGCGCATGCAGGAGGTCGCTGATCGCCTTGCGGCACGCCAAGCTGCCCTCCCCGAGCCCCTGCAAATCCACCGCCTCCTCTACAACCTCACCCCGGACTACGAGTCCCGCCTCCATGCCTTCACTGAGGCCAACCCAATGGCCGGCCTCGATGACGTAGTCCAGTGGATCATTGACACGGAGGTCAAGCTCCGTACCCCCGTTGTCAACCTTACCACCCCTCAGTCCTCCTCCTCCACCTCCCTCAACACTACGCAGCCACGCAACCAGGGTGGTCGCAGCGGCGGCGGCGGAGGCCGTGGAGCGGGTGGCGGTGGTGGTGGTGGAGGCCGTGGTGGTGGCGGTGGTGGTAGTGGTGGCCGTGGTGGCCGTGGTGCCGGTGGAGGTGGTGCTGGCAGCACCCCTGGTGGAGGACCCTCCGGTTCTGGTGGTGCTGTGACTCGAGGCGGACGCCCTGGCACTCTCCCCCCATGCACATATGTGCGCCGCCATGGTCCCCATGCTGGTACCCCTTGCGGCCAGACCAACCATCCTCCCACCACGTGCTTTAAGGCACTTGACGACGCCTAGTTTGATCGAGGCAACACTGGCACCCCTCCTCGCTGGAACTCGGTCTCACCTCGCCCCTCCTTAGTGGATATTCAAACTCTCCCCTCTTTCCTCCCTGCTCACCTCCGCATGGTTACCCCCTCCCCACCCTCCCAACTGCAGCAGTTCCAGCAGCACCAGCAACAGCAACACCTGTACTTCCACCAGCAGCAGCAGCCGCAGTTTCTGCAGCCCCAGCAGCCGCCGCCGCCGCAGTTCTTCCAGCCACCGCCGCAGCAGCAGCAGCAGTTCCTTCCCCCACCCTGGCAGCAGCAGCCACTCACCTTTGGCACGGCGGCCATGGCCGCTCATACCTCCCTTCCTCCTCCTCCCCGCTGGGGTTCCCTCCCCTCCCCCCCCCCCCAAGTGTTCCCGACTCTTCTGGTAGTTTCCTCGGTAATATCAGTGTTGCACCGTCTGTCGCTGCCATGTATCCCTCTGCTATCAATGAGACTTCGTTTCAGTATCCCGTCCCACCCCCTCCTCCCTCTTCTCCCACCCTGGACTTTGTCCTTGACAGTGGAGCCACTGAAACCGCACTGAAAGATGCTGGCACTCTCACCCCACTACCACTTCCCACTCAGGTTCATGGAGTTGATTCCAACTTTTCCATTCCATGCACTCACCTTTCCACCCTCCCTTGCTCTGCCTTCCCCTCCGGTAAGGTCACAGGTCTCCACATCCCCACTCTCCGCAACAACCTCCTCTCCCACCGTGAGCTCCAAGGTGTTGGTACCACTGCCATTTACCCCGGTTATGCCAATTACTGTGATCTCTACCAGACCTCCTCCAGTCGCTTCCTTCTCCGTATTCCGCTTTGCCCCCGCACTCGCCTCTACACACTCCGCACACCTCGCACATCTTTTTGCCACGTCACCACTCGTGCCGGTGCTTCCACCGGTCCACGTCCTCCTCCTTTACTCCCCCCTTCCCCTCCCACTCAAGTAACCTCTTCTCCCTCCCCACCATCCTCCTCCTCCCCTCCCGTTCCTTCCTTTACCCCATCTCCCTCCTCCTCCGCTGCCCTCTCCCACCCTGCTGTCCTCTTACACCACAGACTCGGCCATCCCAACTTCATCGCCCTTCGCACCACAGTCACCTCTCGACTCCTCCGCAGCCTTCCTCCCGTCTTACCTCCCCTCCCCTCCTCCCCCTCTCCCCCATGCCCTTCATGCATTCACGGCAAGCTCAAACAGTCCCCACACCACAGTCATCCCACCTTCGCCGCTGCCCCCATTGACCTTGTGCACATGGACCTCTGGGGCCCCTATCCCATCCGCTCCCGCCAGGGGCATCGATACATGCTCGTCCTCGTTGACGACCACAGCCGCTACTCCACCACCTTCTTCCTTCACACGAAAGACCAGGTGCCGGCAGTGGTCATCAACTGGGCCGAACAGTGCCGCAATCACTTCAAACGCCCCATCGGTCGCCTTCACTCTGATGGTGGGGGTGAGTTCATAAACAACACTCTTGCCACATACTGCGCCACCTACGGCATCCAAAAGACCTCCACCCTTCCCCACTCCCCTCAGCAGAACGGCATTGCTGAAAGCCGCATTCGTGAGATCACCAAGATTGCTCGCTGTCTCATTGCTCATGCCTCCACCCCTCCTTCCCTCTGGAGCTATGCCCTCCTCCACGCCGCCCTTCTCCTTAATCTCCGCTCCCACCCTCAGCATCCTTCCTCCTCCCCTACAGAGCTTTGGTCCAACACCAAACCCGACGCTGCAGGCCTTCGCGTTTGGGGCTGCAAGGCCTTCGTTCTTATCCCACCCGCCGACCGCTCCCACGCCGCTGGCAAACTTGCTCCTCGCGCCCTGGAATGCGTTTACCTTGGTCACAATCGCGACTCCCCAGGCTACCTCTTCCTCCACCCTCCCACCAATCGCCTCATCCGCAGCAGCGACGTCGTCTTCGACGAATCTATCCCCTATTACTCCGCTCCTCCCCCTGATCCCCTCCCTCCTCCCACTCGTCCTCTTACTTGGACCGACACCGTCCTCCCGCCCCTTCTCCCTCCAGCCCCTCTCCTCCCACCCGTCGCAGCTCCGCTCCCGCCCTCCTCCTCCGCCGATGTCTACGACCCTGACGCACCCGCCTCCCCCGCTCACTCGGCCGCACCCCCTCCCCCCCCCTCCCTCCCCCTCTCCCTCTCCCTCCTTCCAGCAGCCGGATCAGCAGCAGCAGCAGCAGCAGCAGCAACAGGGACAGCAGCCGGGGCAGCAGCAGCAGCAGCAGCCGGGACAGCAGCAGCAGCAGCAGCCAGTCCAGCAGCAGCAGCAGCAGCTGGGACAGCAGCAACAGCAGCAGCGGCAGCCGGGACCGCAGCAGCAGCAGCAGCAGCCTCAGCAGCCGCAGCACCATCACGGTCAGCCGCAGCCGCAGCTACATGGGCAGCAGCTTCAGCAGCACCAACGGCAGCAGCGGCGTCGAGCCACCTCCCGTTCCTCCCCCTTCCTCCTCCCTTACATCCATACCCGCTCTGTGGACAAAATCCTTGGGGCTCCTCCTCCTGCCTCCATTCAGCTCCTTGAGGACTCCCATGAGGAGTTTCTTAACATTCGGGAGCACACTCCATTCCTTGCCGCCCTCTACCTTGACTTCCTGGGCTTTCCCGTCCTTGGCGCCACCACTACCCCCACCATCTTCACTCCCTCCACCTTCCAGGAAGCCATCACCTGCCCTGATGCGGATAAATGGATGGCAGCGATCTTCCTGGAGTGTGAGGCATTCATTCGCAACGACTCATTTGTCGATGTCCCTCTTCCTGCTGGCGCCAATCTCGTCGACGGCAAATGGGTCTTTCGGGTGAAGCAGCTGCCGGGTGAGGAACCAGTGTACAAAGCCCGCTACTGCGCCAAGGGGTTCACGCAGACTTGGGCTGAGGACTACTGGTTCACCTATGCCCCCACCGCCAAACAACCCACCCTCCGCGCCGCCATGGACATTGGTGCGCGTGACGACATGGAAATCGACTCCATGGACGTCTCCAATGCGTTCCTGCAGGGTGACCTGCATGAGCGCATTTTCCTCCGGCGGCCCCCCGGGTTCCACGCAGCCTTTCCTGAGAACACTGTCTGGCAGCTGCGTCGCCCTGTCTACGGCTTGAAGCAGGCGCCGCGTGAGTGGCATGCGAAGCTGGCTGCCACCTTGGGGTCTCTTGGCTTCTCTCCTTCCCACTCCGACGCCAGCCTCTTCATCCGTTCCTCCCCCCGCCGCTTCTTCATTCTGGTCTATGTTGACGACATGATCCTGCTCTCTGACACCAAGGCCGACATGAAGCAGGTGAAGCTGTCTCTGCAGCAACGGCTCAAGTGCAAGGACCTTGGCGCCCTCACTAACTACCTCGGTATGACCATCACGCGCAACCGCCCTGCTCGCACAATCACCCTCTCCCAGTCCCATTACATCGGCCAGGTCTTAGAGAAGTTCGACATGACGCAGGCCAAGCCTGTTTCCACCCCGCTCCCCTTTGGTCACCAGCTCGCTCCACCCACCTCCCCCACCTCCTCCACCCACCCCTATGCCGAGCTCGTTGGGTCCTTGATGTACGCAATGATGTGCACCCGCCCCGACCTCGCCTACCCCATCAGCGTGCTCGCTCGCTTTGTCGGCACCGGTCGTCACTCTGAGGAGCACTGGAAAGCTGCCAAACGAGTCCTCCGCTACCTTCGCGGGACCAGGGACCTTGCCCTCACCCTCGGCGGCCCTTCCCGTCCCCTTCTCTCGGGCTTCAGTGACTCTTCCTGGGCCGACTCGCAGCCGGACCGCCGCTCCTCCCAGGGCTACGGCTTCACCCTTGGCAGCGGCCTCGTCAGCTGGCGCTCCACCCGCTCCTCCGCCATCTCTCTCTCCACCTGCGAAGCAGAGCTCTACGCCGGCACCATGGCCGCCCAGGAGTCGCGCTGGCTCTGCTTCCTTCTTGCAGAGCTTGGCGCCCCCCAGACATGCCCCACTCTCTGGTGCGACAACGCCAGCACCATCCACCTCACTCAGGACCCCGTCTATCACGCCCGCTCCAAGCACATCGAACTCCGCTACTTCTTCGTTCGCGAACTCGTCCAGAAGGGCCTCATTGCCGTTCGCAAGATTGCGTCCGAGGCCAACTTGGCCGACATCTTCACTAAGGCCCTCCTTCGCCCCGCGCACTCTGCTTTCCTCCGCCTCATTGGCCTTACTCGCCCGGGTGCCCCTTGATTCAGGGGTTGTTCTCTTCTTGTGTTAGCATGCTAAGGGGTTGTGTTAAAATACATTGTGTAGCATGCCAACACATGTGACTGTACACCAATTGTGGTGTACAGTTGGGTTGGGACTACACCCAACTTTGGGTGTAGTCTTGCACTTTGGGGTGCCAATCCACCCAATTGTGGTGGAGCCCCCAAATGCAACCCTCTTGAGTTGTGGGTACCTCACTTCCCACAATTGAGGCTTCCCCAAGCCAAGTGGGCCTAGGGTTGCCTCACTTCTACAAAGTGTGGGCAACCCAACCCACTTGACCAATGGTTCCCTCACTTCCCAAAGTGAGGTCAACCCAACCTATGGTCACTTTGATCCTTCCCTTCCACTCTCCCCTTCCAACCTTCTCTTCCAAACTATGTATGCTAGGTTGTGACTCTAATTCAATGACTTGTTCAATCCATAATCTTCACAAGGTCCATCGAAGCTAGCCCCCCCACACGCTAGGTTAGTTAGGGCCTATGATAGTCATTCAGAGGCCAAGTTGGTGACAAGCTGGGTAAGCTACAAGCTAGGTCACTTACAGATTAGGCCAATCGGAGGCTGCAACAGTCCCAAGCTCGGCCAATCACCAGTAAGGTTAAGCACAAGCAAGAACAAACAGAAACCAGGTCACTCGCAGGTAGGACAATGACAAGGTAGGTCAGTCAGATGCTAGGACACTAACAGGCGAATATAGGCAAAAATGAAAGTACTTTCATGAGGGGGGGAGGGGGGGGGAGGGGGGAGGGGGGAGGGGAGGG